AAGCAGAAGAATGTCAGCTAGTTAGTTAGCTAGTTAGCTGGTTAAGAAATAAAGCAGATCCAGCTTTATTTGAAAGCAGATTAAAGCTTTTAGGGAATCGAGCCGGGGTGTGTTTCCCAAAAGCATCATTAGCCAACTATGGTCGCAAGTTCTGCTGAACTATGCTGGTAACGACAGAACTTTTGGCCATACTTGCTTTCTTTGTGGAAACGCACCACCGATTAGTTAAGAAATAAAGTTAGTTAGAAATAAAGCTAGTTTAGTTAGTTAGTTAGTTAGTTAGTAAATAAAGCATATTAGTTAGTTAAGAAATAAAGTTAGAAATAAAGCTAGTTAGTTTTAGATAAAGCAGATGAGTTAATTAAGAAATAAACCTAGTTAGCTAGTTGTTAGTTTTAGTTAGATTGTTAAGAAATCAGATTAGTTAGGAAATGAAGCAGATTAGAAAGTTAAGAAATAAAGTTAGTTAGCTAGTGGTTGGTTAGTTAGTTGGTTAAGAAATAAAGCAGATTAGTTAAGAAATAAAACTAGTTAGATAGTAGTCGGTTACGAAATGAAGCAGAATAGTTAAGAAATAAGTCTAGTTAGTTTAGTTAGTTAGGAAAAAAAAAATTAGTTAGTTAAGAAATAAAGTGAGTTAGCTAGTTTAGTTAGTTAATTAATTAGAAAGACTTTATTGTCTGCTTTTGCACGTGGTTTGCATGTTTACAGCTATACATGAATATGATGCACCTATCCTGGCCAAGTAACAAATAAAAGATAAATATTAGTTAGTTAGTTGGATATTTGTCTGGATTTGACACACCAAAACAAGGGCAAATCATAATGACAAAGAAGTAGCATGGTAGTATGATAAGACTATACTATTCATACTATACTATACTATTACCATGAAATGCAGATGGTAATAAATTTGTAATCTGGTACAGTATATTTCAAAGTATCAACGTTTTACCATGGTACCACATTGCTCTCTATAAATTTGACTCTAATTTAACTCCAGATTCTCCTCATGTGTTGCATGTTCACTGCAGCACATGAATATTACAGCATGCATCTTCTGTCTCTGCCAAGAGTCTGTGAGCCTGCTGATGGTGCTGTTCTTCCGGCACGGATTCATCCGATCCAATGATTTCCTTCGATTGTCGATGCAAAGTGGGTGTTGGAAACTGATCCATAGCCTTGAGACTGAGCAAGGAAAGTCTTAAGCTCTGCTTCAGTTGTGTGTGTTACAAAGAAACCTTTTTATATATCGCTCTGTGGTCACACACATCTCCTCCGGACATCTGCTATGAGCACGAGTGTGTGACCAATGCATTAATCCACTGTTGGAGAAACACCCCAGCTCCACCTGTATAGATCTGCTAAGGGTTATTTTATATGCTATTTGTGCAGCAGCAGTATGTCTTAAATACTCATGGCACCGTATCGCCGTATGCATTGGCAGTAGCAAGTTCCTGTACTTGCTTGCAGCAGCAGCAATAATCTACAACTACAGCAATAACCAACAGCAGCAGCAATTCAGCAGCAGTGTAGCTGATCTGTTCCGCCAAGACCATTAACATTGTCACATCCATCACCATGCTAAAATGTTCCGAGAGTTGTCATGATTGAAATATATATATATATGCAGGTGAAGCAGGAGCTGCAACCAAACAAAGTAAAAAATAAAAATAAAAATAAAAAACTTCTGAGATGGTGCATGAAATGGAGATTGTTCCAAATTGGTCACTTGTCGCATTAGAAGGCAGCTGACTATGTAGACAGTGATAGGGTTTGGAGCAGTGTTTTTGTGCAGATGGGACAGTGTGCAGTGGACTGGACCATTAAGATTCCTGTGGCAAACAGCATCAAGTGTTTAAATCGTGTTAGTTGTATGACAGACAAGGGTGTGGGCCTGAGTGAATTGGATTAGGAGTGACTAGCTGTAAATGCCTGTAGATCGTAAGAGCCCGGTCTCGCATGTTGGATCCCTTTAGCCCACCAGCACAGAGTATTACAGCTATTAATGCTGTCACGCTATTGTGCTGTTTTCCTGATCTCATAGAAATCCACACTGACAGGGCCAGTTGAAATTTTTTTTTTCCTCACATGAGGTTGTTTTCCTTTGATAATTGTATGCATCACCTCTAGTAATTCACATTTCAAAAAGATTAAACATAATTACTTAATTATAGATTTCCTGTTTTATTCCTGGCTGGTTGTTAGTAATAGTGTCTGTGCTTAAGACTCAAGATGACAGATTTAGTTTGATTTCATGAAAACAGGTACCAGCTTGTTGAATATGGATTTAAAATGAGAACATTTAATAGTTTGTGGTCTCTGAGATTCTATGTTTTTGATTCTCTTGTCCTATGAGACTTCATTTATTTGATTGAAAATAGTCAACAACATTAATATGGTGAAATATTATCATTTTAAATAACTGTTTTCTATGTGATATATTGTAAAATATAATTTATTGCTGTGATCAAAGCTGAATTTTCAGCATCATTACTCCAGTCTTCAGTGTCACATGATCCTTCAGAAATCATTCTAATATGCTGATCTGCTGCTCAAGAAACATTTCTGATTGTTAGCAATTGTGCTGCTTCATATTTTTGTGGGAACTGATTTTTTGATGAATAGAAAGTTCAAAAGAACAGCATTCATTTGAAATATAAATCTTTTGAAACATCTTTACTGTCATTTCAGATTAATTTAATGCATCCTTGTTGAATAAAACTATCAATTTAATAAAAAAAATCATGTAGTAATAATAATAATAATACATTAAAAAAATTATTTACTAATAAAACAATGTATTTATTTATAATTTCTTTTTCGATACTTTTCCCAATGTGCTATATATAAAACCCTGTTGTCCTGTTCTCTGCTGCCTGACTGCAGGCTGTTGGATAAATTCGATCTGAAGCATCTTCTGGCTGGTTTGACCCAGACTCTCCTGCTCTCTCTCCCTCCCTGACAGACTCAATCTGACATAGTGAATTGGTCGTGTAGAAGTGGCAAAAAATAAATAAATTATTGAATCTGGGTCTTGGGTCTAAATTTAACAAACAAAACCAGGTCTGTTATATAAAGCCGAGACCAGTCACATAAGGACATTGACTGCTGCAGTATGAATATTATGTGCTTAAGATCCAAAATCCCCTGTCCACACTGATGAGGACCAAGCCTTTATGTATTTCACAACTAGAGATTTAGATTTTAAGAACAAAATGTGGTCTGTGTTTGCACATGCAAAATTGAGTTGTTGACAAGGTGTATGTGTAGGTTTATGTACAAAATGCATTTGCTTAGGTGTTTTGGGTAGCTACTACAGTAGGATGTCTCTTAAGTGGTTACTACAGTGTTATGGGTGGTTGCTAAGGAGATCAGGGAGGTTGCTAGGTAGTTGCTAGTTGGTCACCGGGTCGTTCGGAGTAGTTGTATGGGAGCTGCTAGGTAGGTAGTTGCTAGGATATTCAGGGTGGTTGCTAGGGCATTGCTATGGTGTTGTAGGTGGTTGCTAGTTGGTTGCAGGGGTGTTTGGAGTAGTTGTATGAGCATTGAGAGTTCCTAGGATGATCAGGGTGATTGCTGGAGCATTGCTAAGTATGCTATGGTGTTGTAGGTGGTTGCTAGGGTGTTGCTATGTAGTTGCTGGGATGTTCAGGGTGGTTGCTATTGCTAAGTATGCTATGGTGTTGTAGGTGGTTGCTTGGGTGTTGCTAGTTGGTTGCTGGGGTGTTTGGAGTGGTTGTATGGGCATTGCTAAAGGGGTCATATGAAGCTATTTAAATTTTTCCTTTCTCTTTGGAGTGTCACAAGCTCTTGGTGCATAAAGAAGATCTGTAAAGTTGCAAAGACTAAAGTCTAAAATTCAAAGAGATATTCTTTATAAAACTTGAGATTCAACCATGCCTACTTAAAACGGCTCATTCTAACACTCCCCCACATATCTACCTCACTGTGTTGGAAGATTTGCATAATGCTGCCCAAATGTTCCTACAAAGAAAGAAGGCGTAACTTTTATTCTCGCTGTAGTATTGCTGCCGCCGCCGCCATGTCGTAAAGGCGCTGTTTGTTTCGTTGTGAAAGCGAAACTACTTTGTTTGGTCTTCCAAAAGAGGACGATATCACTTCGTCATGCCTGGAGCTGATCCGTGCTGGTCACTGAGGAAATACTTCAGCTTCGCACTGTGGATCGCCGGATCGGCTTTCACCGTGGATGAAGCGGCATCATCGTCACATGTGGTTGCCGCAGGCATCACAATATGGTAAGGGACGTAACATTTCCGTCACACTCTTGAGGAATTCGGCCAATCTCAACGCACTGGATAGCTGGCCAATCAGAGCACACCTCGCTTTTTCAGACCGATGAGCTTTGTAAAATTCAACATGTTTCAGAAAGGCGGGGCATAGAGGAGAAACAATAATGTACAGTATGTGGAAAATAATGTGTTTTTTGAACCTTAAACCGCATAAACACATTTCGTTACACCAAATACACAAAATAATGTTCTTTTTAACAGCATCATATGACCCCTTTAAGTATGTTATAATGTTGTAGGTGGTTGTTAGGGTGTTGCTAGGTAGTAGCTAGGATGTTCAGAGTGGTTGCTAGGGCATTGCTATGGTGTTGTAGGTGGTTGTTGGTGTGTTCAGAGTGGTTGTATGGGCATTGCTAAGTAGTTGCTAGGATGTTTAGGGTGGTTGCCAGGGCATTGGTATGATGTTGAAGGTGGTTGCTAATGGGATGCTGGGGTGTTCAGAGTAGTTGTAGGTGGTTGCTAGGCTGTTGCTATGGTTTTGTGGGTGGTTGCTGGGGTGTTCTGAGAGGTTGCTAGGTTTGCTTGGCGATTGCTGTGAGTGGGTTGCATAATGCCAATGGAAATGAATAGTAATTTGGTGTAATTTAATGTTGAATGCATGCTGTCAAGGGCACGTCCTCAAAAGACTGCTTTTGCCATGATGTCATGATGACAAACATAAACATGAGCCGCTGGCATGAGGGCGTGTGTCTGGGTTTGAGGAAACACTGTGTCAGTGTGTCTCTCGCTGAGGGGAGGGAGAGCAAATGTCTCCTGCTCTCTATTTGTCCTCCTCATTGGCTTGAAACGTGTCCTCGCTGGCTGTCCTGCATGTCCAGATGTCTTTAGTCTCCGCCTTCCCTTGAGATTCTGCAGACAGCAGTAAAGGTTATCACAGGGATGCTGTAGGAATTCACAGCAACTCTTTAACAAGAGGTGAGATTTAATGGCTTATATTCAAAAGTGCATACAGTCTGAATGGTTTAGGCTTTTTTAGGTTGTGCGTTGAGTATTTTGGGAGAGATCACAGATGTGTTTATGTCTCTATCGGTGTGTGTGGTAGACAGAGAATTCAATCAGCAGCTGCTCAGTAGTTGTTTTCTGGGGCACTTCTCTAAAATCCTCTTCCTCTGAGCTCTGGACTGCTGTGTCATGATTACTCCAGTCTGGATGAGGTGCCTGGCTCAGCATTTGTATTGATTTATTGTGAGACTGAAGTAATGCTGTCATATACATGAGTTCATTGTGATGTGATTCGCTCAATGTATTTTTCAGGTGCTTTTTTACCATTTTTTTTTATGTTGCATTAGGTTTATTTGTTGCTTATAAGGGAGAACAGGGCTAGTTGTGACAGTTTTTTGCTTATTTCACAGAAAATATTTATTTTTGAATGATTATATCCGTAAAGGCATATAACTGGAAGCATACAATGATTTAATATAGCGGGGCATGTTATCACACTATTTGGGGTAAGTTGTCACAATGGGAGCCTGTTGTTTATTGACACTGATCTGAGAAAATTAACTTTGTTTGAATTATGAAATATTGTCTGAAGTAAAATAAAGTCATCTTACACAGCATCTGTATTTAATCTGTAGAAATTGTTATGAATTTGTATTTATGTTTAACCGTTATCATCTTTATAATATACTTTCACTACATAGTTGCATGTGTGTGTTTTATTGTGAATAGGAGTTTATGGAGTATAACAGGACATTTTGCTCTATAGTGACTGAGCTATATAGCCCTTCCACATATGACAACTAGCCCCGGTAATCCATTCCACATAAGCAACATTTTAGGTCAGTTTGAGTTGCTGTCTTTGTCATATAAATTACAGCCAAGATGTGTGTACATACACACCCCACATGTGGTGCCATGGTGGCTTGGCCATATTTCCAAATTTGTCACTTGTCAGTGCAGATAATGAGCACTAATAGGATGTGACGTCTCTGTTAGGTCACCAGAGCCCTAAAGGGTCTCATTATCAATATCTCTTTCATCAGTCCTCACAGAGCTGCTGCTGATCTGGAATCAGGGCTAGTGACCTACAGAAATCTGCAGACGTTAAATGCAGAATCAAGTGTTAATACAGTCCTAATTTCGCTTGATTGCAGTTGTTGCTGCTAAGGGTGGCCCAACCAGTTATTAGGTTTAGGGGGCAAACACTTTTTCACACAGGGCCATGTAGTTTTGGATTTAGTTTTCCTTAATAATAAAAACCTTCATTTAAAAACTGCATGTTGTGTTATCTTTTACTAATATTTAAATGTGTTTGATGATCTGAAACATTAAAGTGTGACAAACATGCAAAAAAATAAGAAATCAGGAAGGGGGTCAACACTTTTTCACACCACTGTATATGACCATTGTTATAGATTTATGTGGCCATGAGCGATCGCTACAGTCATGTGACTCAGTGGTTCTTATGGCACAGGATAAATCAAAACACTTAATTTGAGCAGAAGTGGACAACAGTGAGACTCTACAGGCACAATAGAGGACCTATTATTGGGAGGAAGGGATCAGTTTTGGTGCCAGTCACTGGAAGAGCTTGAGAGATGGCAGACAGGGCTAGCAGTGCATGCTGGGAGTGCCAAGTGGTGCCAGTCTGTCAGCAGACCTCTGATCAAACCCCTCCAGAGAAGAGCAGCCGGTCCGGCCAAAACGACTGCCGTGTGTCACTGAGTCCTAATTATTATCAGCTATGCAAATGAGCTTGAAAGAGGGGAAAAATAAATTTAGTGCTCTATCTGTCTATCTGTCTATCTGTCTATCTGTCTGTCTGTCTGTCTGTCTGTCTGTCTGTCTGTCCATCCCAACAGCCACTGGATGGTTTTATTTTATTTTATGACATGAAATTATGATTTTAAAAAAGCATTTAAAGTATTTTTTATATATATATATTTTTCTATATTCATAAATGATTAAAATGTCCTAATTTAACTATATTCATTTAATAACTATCTTTCTATATTTCCCCTACCTCCACTGATGAATTACCTTTTTATTTTAATTTATTCTGTACTTTTGTTTACATTTGATTAATTTTGTATTCGTAAAATGCAAGAACACTGTGTGTGTTTTTATTTTATTTTAAATAAATTTTATTGATTTGTTTTACTGTCTTCTCTTGTAATTTTTATATTTTTATTTATATTATGTTTTTATATTTATTATTTATACTTGCACAACCACTGATTATTTTATTATATATATTGTAGTATTTATTTGCTTCTTTCTCGTCTCTTGTTCTGCATGAGAGTAAACCATCCTGAAGATGCCAATCATGCCATCTTGATGTTGATGTCTTGATCATTTCCAGTCATGATGTTTCGATAAATATGAGTAAATATAGTCACATTATTAGACAAAAAAAATCTCTCTAAATCTTATCATGTTCTCTTGACGTCTTCTCCCAGAGCTTCATCTCGTGATCTTCCTCGACTATGAGCAGTGGTGTGAACCTGAAGACGATGTCCCAGAGCGGCTCTGGTATTCCTCTGCCGCGGAGCCTGACCAGCCTCTCCAAGCAGGACACCAAGGGCTTGAGCGGCACTTTACTGAGTCCTGCTGCCCAAAACCAGCTGGCTCCGCGAATTTCCTCGCTTTCTTCCTCAACCTCATCCATATCTTCTCAATCGGTCTCAAAGGAGTTACTCAAAGAGACCGGATCGAGAACTCAGTCCTCACAGAGAGCTCAAGGGACATCTGGTGGCACAAACAGGCCGTCGTTTGCTCCCCGTTCGGCCCACAGCAGCCCACATGTGCCCAAACGAGAGATGATCCCGTTCAAAAACAACCTCCGGAGGGGCTCGTTGCCCCAGGATGGATTCAGAGACATGGAGAGACACTCCAACAAGAACTGGAGATCTGGCCATCATCACTTCAGGAGTCTAGACAATGAGGTTGTTGAATCTTCTAGAGAGCACCAGACGCGTCAAGGCCTTCGCAAGCCAACCAATGGGAACGTCATTTGGGAAACGTTAACTGGTGTTCAAAGGGACTGTCAGAAGCAGCGGATGAAAATGCTGGTTCGTGGTGATGGTAACAGAGGAACAATTGCATCTAAATCCCAGGTGAACTTCTCAAATGCGTATCCTGCAGGAAGGGAGTCTCCACGCATGGCGGCAGTGGCACCTTTCAGATTCAGGTGAGATTTCAGATTTTTTTTTCAAATTTATTGCTATTGGTTCTATTGGACATATGTTGCCAATATTAAAATGTGCATGCTCAATTTCTCTGTTTTTTACATTTAAATGACTTTGGCTGTCATCTGATGCATGCTTTATATAGGCTTATATTTATAATTATAAATAAGTATTGGCTTACTGTATTGGCCAGAATTTTAATATTGGTGCATCAAAGTCAAAAAAATTTTTTTTATGTAATTTGTGTATGTAAAATTTAATGCAAAATTTTAATATGAAAATATATTTCAAAAACACTGATAATTAACACTGTACATTTAACACTATTTTACAGTAACACTGTTAAATGTAAACTTCAGCAAAACTAGAAAATAAATATTAATTTTTATACTATGTTGTGATGCCTAAATTCACTTCTTGCATTTAAAATGATTTATTTTAGTTTTTGGTGTTTTATTTTTTTGATTATTTAGACAAAAAGTATTGTAAATAGTATAGGTTTTTTATATAAATAGTAATAGGCTTATTTTTATAGGCTCATATTTATAATTATAAATAATCATTAGCTTACTTGCATTGGCCAGAATTTTTATATTGGTGCATCAAAGTCAAAAAATGTCCATTCAAATTTTTTTATTTCAATATTATATTAAAAAATGAAATTTAAAATGATTTGACCAATAATATTGCTATATACAATATGTGACCTTGGAGCACAAAAGCAGTCTTAAGTCGCTGGGGTATATTTTTAGCAATAGCCAAAAATCATTAGGATATTAAGTAAAGATCATGTTCCATGAAGATATTTTGTAAATTTCCTACTGTAAATATATCAAAACATTAATTTTTGATTAGTAATATGCATTGCTAAAGACTTCATTTGGACAACTTTAAAGGTGATTTTCTCAATATTTAGATATTTTTGCACCCTCAGATTCCAGATTTTCAAATAGTTGAATCTCTACCAAATATTGTCCTATCCTAACAAACCATACATCAACGGAAAGCTTTTAGATGATGTATAAATCTCAATTTCGAGAAATTGACTCTTATGACTGGTTTTGTGGTCCAGGGTCACATACGTATAATTCTGTGTACATGTATATATATATATATATATACCATTCATTCTTTTGTTTACACGGATCAGTCGTCCTGGTCCTTTTGCAGAAAAACAGCCCCAAAGCATGATGTTTCCACCCCCATGCTTCACAGTAGGTATGGTGTTCTTTGGATGCAACTCAGCATTCTTTCTCCTCCAAACATGACAAGTTGAGTTTTTGCTACAAAGTTCTATTTTGGTTTCATCTGACTATATGACATTCTCCCAATCCTCTTCTGGATCATCCAAATGCTCTCTAGCAAACTTCAGACGGGCCTGGTGCAGGTCTACAATTTTGTTTGTGGTGTCCTTTGACAGCTCTTTGGTCTTGGCCATGGTGGAGTTTGGAGTGTGACAGTTTGAGGTTGTGGACAGGTGTCTTTTATACTGATAACGAGTTCAAACAGATGCCATTAATACAGGTAACGAGTGGAGGACAGAGGAGCCTCTTAAAGAAGAAGTTACAGGTCTGTGAGAGCCAGAAATCTTGCTTGTTTGTAGGTGACCAAATACTTATTTTACCGAGGAATTTACCAATTAATTCTTTAAAAATCCTACAATGTGATTTTCTGGATTTTTTTTTCTCATTTTGTCTCTCATAGTTGAGGTATACCTATGATGAAAATTACAGGCCTCTCTCATCTTTTTAAGTGGGAGAACTTGCACAATTGGTGGCTGACTAAATACTTTTTTGCCCCACTGTATATAATATATTCTAATATTAATGGAGTTATAATTGTATAGCGCTGCACTGTATGATCAGCTATTGTCTCATTTGTGGCTACTATTTTTGTGTAAAATTATATGCTGAAATAAAGTCTCATCCTCTGAGCAATAAAAATTCCCTTAAGAATTAATGCTTCAAAGACACGTGATTCCTTTCTTGTTAAGGTTTTGTCTGTCGTTCTTTCTGTGCCTCAGGCTGCAGGTTGGAGAAAACACTGAAGCTGCTCTTGAGGATCTGAGTGATTGTTCCTCAGACTCTATGGAAGTGTGCTGTGAGGATTTGGGTGAGTCTCTCCTAAAAATATTCCAATATTCATGACTGCAGCATTTTTTTTTCTGGAATGGCCTTTGCATTTCTCATACAGGACTGTAGATGTTAGTGAGAATAGGTCTGAGACTGTGGTTACTAGTATCTGATATCTTCACAGTACTTTTGTGTGAGGGATGCTATGATTCAGATTGATCAAACTATAAGCAGATGCTGGTGTGGTCAGTTACGATTGGTATCCGTGTGTGGGGATGCATGTCATTGCTGATGTATGTTTCTGCCGTCTGAAGCTCTTTCCAGATTCTTGATGGACTCAGTCAGACCACATGTAGAGCTCAAAGATCAGTGAAATACTCTCAGTCCATGTTGCCAGGTATGCTAAAGAACAGAGACCAATCCATTGATTTGGGATTGTATTCCGTACTTTGACAAAGTAGTGCAATGGTGTTTTTGTAGAAGATTGTTTTCAAGAAATGTCTTTAAGATGTTACATGCCTTGACAGTGTGTGGAAAGGTTTGCATTTGTAAAATTAGCTGTTGTGACAGTTGTGTATCCATCAACGCTTTTCATACTTAACAGTGGGTTTTGTTGCTTTTAGGCATATACATTATTTTCCATGAAACTGCAATGTGTGCATGTCATAGAAAATATCTAATATAACATCTGATATTTTAATTATATAATTTAAAAAAGATCAGAGCTCCTTTGTGAATCTCATATTTCACCCCCCAAAAGGATATTTTTTTATTTGTTTTTAGTTTTTTAGTTTTTGCATCACGAAAATGATATCTAATAAAAAATTTAAAAAAACGTTTTTTACATTTTTTAAAATCAGAATAAATTTTTTTCTTTTTCATTACTGTAATCTGTACATACTGTAATAAATTAAATAAGTAAGGTATATTATTTTAATTGTATATTTTTAAAGTACAAATGTATCTATATATATACTTAATATATTTAATATTCATATACCTGTGTGTTTGTGTGTGTGTGTGTATGTGCATATATATATATATATATATATATATATATATATA